TCTATTCCTAGCACTCTGAGAGCCTTAGGCAGGAGGATTGCTTGAGACCAGCCTGAGGAAGAGCAATACCCCGTCTCTACCAAAAGTAGAAAAAATTAGCTGGGCGTGGTGGATCACATCTGTAGTCCCAACCACTCAGGAGGCTGAGGCAGAAGAATAGCTTGAGCCCAGGAGTTTGAGGTTACAATGAGCTATGATGATCCACTGCTCTCTAGCCTGGGTGACAGAGCAAGACCCTGTCTCAAAAACAACAACAAAAAAACAATGCAATTATTGGTTCTTCCTCCCTTCTCTGAACTTTTTGGGAACATTCATATTTATATAGTATTTCTGTCATCTCTTTTGCTATTTTGTTCATTTATGAATACAGAGATAATTTCTTATATACATTTGTATCTTTCCCAGTGCCTATCATTGTGCTTGCTCATAGTGATTTTTCATAGAATGAATGTAATTTGCTGAGCAGAAATTCTGTTTCAGTTTGCAAACATGCATATTTGACTTTTAATACGTTCTCATTTATTTATATATTTGTGAATGAATAAATGAGTGAATGAATGAAAGAATGAACGAGATGGGGTTTCACTCTTTCACCCAAGCTGGAGTGCAGTGATGCAATCATAGTTGACTACAGCCTTGAAATCTTGGGTTCAAGTTATCCTCCTGCCTCAGGCTCCCAAGTTGCTAGGACTACAGGCACACACCACCATGCCCAGCTAATTTTTTTCTTTTAAGAGACAGGGTCTGACTGGTCAGGGTGGCTTATGCCTATAATCCTAGCACTCTGGAAGGCTGAGGTGGGAGGATTGCTTGACTTCAGAAGTTCAAGACCAGCCTGAGCAAGAGCGAGACCCTGTCTCTACTAAAAATAGAAAAATTATCTGGGTCTGGTAGCGCACCTATAATCTCAGCTATCCAGGAGGCTGAGGCAAGAGAATCACTTGAGCCCAAGAATTTGAGGTTGCTGTGAGCTAGGCTCATGCCACAGTACTTTAGCCCAGGCGACAGAAGGAGACTCTGTCTTAAAATAAAATAAAAAATAAATTAAAAAAAGATGGTCTTGCTGTGTTTCCCAGGCTGATCTTGAACTCCTGATCTCAGGTGATCCCCCCACCTCAGCCTTAGTACATTCATATTTAACAGATCTATTTCCAAAATATTCCTTTGAAACAAGCTTTAATGCATGTCATAATTAACTTTATCTTTTTTGGTGTGCAGGGGGTGACATTGACTGATCTTCAGGAAGCTGAGAAAACAATAGGAAGAAGTCGTTCTACTCGAACCAGAGAACAAGAAAATGAAGAAAAAGAAAAAGAAGAGAAAGAAAAACAGGATAAAGAGAAGCAAGAAGAGAAGAAGGAGTCAGAAACATCTAGAGAAGATGAATATAAGCAAAAGTACTCCAGAACATATGATGAGGTAATAGTATATCAACAACACAGCTGGATCAAATGGTATGAATGATTATTACGATTCTCAATATATAAGAAATTTATATATCAACAAACTAAATCCAGAATACTTAAAAGGATTTTACCTGGAAATCTGAATTGCTTTGAAATGATTAGAACATTACTTTTCCTTTGAAATGAATTTTTAAGTGTTGTATATGTTTTTAATTGTGTTTAATATTTCAAATGGGTTTTAATTTTAATGTTTCACAGACTTATCAGCGTTATAGGCCAGTATCAACTTCAAGTTCAACCACTTCATCCTCTTCACTTTCTACTATGAGCAGTTCACTGTATGCTTCAAGTCAACTAAACAGACCAAATAGTCTTGTAGGTGTAACTTCTGCTTACTCCAGAGGATTAACAAAAGAAAATGAAAGAGGTAAGAAGACCAAATTTAAAAACACTTTTTTTCCTTCAAATAGTCCTTTGAATTAGTTTTTCCTAAATAAATAGTTCAACAGAAAAGGAACATCCTAACCTGTGACTCATTCAACCTAAACAGAATATGATGATCAAGAATGAGAAAAGTAGAAAACAGAAATAGAAAATGATATGGTCTGGGTTGATATGAATATCTTTATAACTTAATACTTCACAAAAATCTTCATGACCTACAAAGAAAAGTCAGTATAGAAGAACTGGTGGGTAACTAACTATTCCTAGGAGCAGTTAATTATTATAGTACTTTTCCAGTGCTTTAATCTGTTTCTTGCCTGCTGTATATAGATCATATCTTTTAAATGTTTGTGTGTGTGTGTGTGTGTGTGTGTAGGAAATTGTTTTAAACTAAAATCACTTAACATATTGAAGAGTTCTGCGAATATTTGGAAGTAGTGGGGAGGGAATTGGTGTCTTGTATTAGGTATGTCAAGCAGCTAAATGTGCAAGTGTAAGAAA